CATTGAGTAGTTAAAGCCAAAGTAAAACTTACCGCGGTTCCCCGAAGGGCCATCTCTGCGTAAAGGCCCTGCTGCATCAGCGTGTCCGGAGGAGTCATCGTCATCCCGAAATGAGTCATGCTAGAAAGTAGGAGAGCCGCGGAAGCACGACTCTCGCAAACACCATCCTCGGCAGAAGGCACCAAGCCAGTCTAAGGACCACCGACCGCATTGCGCTTCTGCTTCTTGGCGAGTGTCTCCTTGGCGGCGGCTTTCCCTTTGGCGGAACCACCAGTGTGCCTGCCTTGGGTCCTCCCTCTCTTTTGGCCTGCACTGGCCTTAGCAGTCTCCTCGGCGTGACCAAGGGCAAGCACGCGCCCAGGGGAAGGTGCAAAATCGGACCTCGGCACTGGTTTCAGAACCGCGAAGTCTTTCCTGCTCGGCTTCACAGTCGGAGTAGGCTTCGACACCCTTAGTATCCGGCTCTTGCCCACATACAACATCAGCGGGAGGTCTTGCCTGACTAGCCTCGGCAGCCTCCTTGGCCTTCGCGGCCTCCCTCTCTCTTTCTCTCCACGTCACTATCTCGTTCTCTGAAGAACTGGCTGATGAATTCGAAACTGTTAATCCTGCGTGATGAGCTCAGGCCCTCTCTACTCGCCTCAAAGAAAAATGTCTCTCCCAATCACACTTCCGAGAAGAGAGTCGTGAAGAAGGCTCGAATCTGCGGGGAGCTGCGGGAAAGGATTGGACACTGCAAAAAAGACAAGAAACATGAAAAAACATAAGTCAAATTCTCAAAAACCAACCAAATAGCGCACTAAAAGCCAAGTACACCGAGCCCTCAAAACTGTCAAAGGGGTCGGCTACCCTTTCTCCGCCACCGAGTCGAGAAGCCAACGCTGTCACCCAGAATCTCCTTGCAAAATTCGGCACATAAAAGAAAATTTTCATCCACCGATGATCCTTGCGGGAACTCTCTGATGATCCGATGATCTTTCCGATTCACCATAAAGTAAACCAACTTGTCAGGGGGAGAGGATTTCCTGAGATCCAACC